TTCATTGCCCCCCCACCACGCCCATACACGCCCCACCCAACCTCCCCCCCGCAGAGTTTTTCATCCATTGGTTTTGCTTATATGCATGCATACAAGTCCTTTGGTTGATCTCTTATCTCCCCCCTATCTCCCTATCCTCCCCACTGTAATTTGACAGTCTGTTTGTTGCTTTACTGTCTCTGTATTGAATAGACATTTTCCCAAAGAAGAGATACACATAGCCAATAGATAGGAAAAGATGCTCAATGTCACTAATCATCAGAGGAATGCAAAGCACAAAGCTGTGAGATATCACTCATATTTGTTAGGATGGCATATATATATATATATATATATATATATATATATATATATAATATATATGAAAGACAACAAGTTTAGAAAGAATGTGAAGATATGAGAACTCTTATACAATGAAAAAAATGGTACACCTGCTATGAAAAACAGCATAGGGGTTCCTCAAACCATTAAAACCATCAGAAACAGAAGCACCACATGACCCAGCAATGCCACTGCTGTGTATTTATTCAGAAGAATCGAAATCAAGATCTTGAAGAGGCCTTACCAGCCCCATGCTCATGGCGGCATGACTCACAGTAGCCAAGATCTGGACACGAGCTAGGTGTTGAAACAAGCCAGTCACAGGACCGACACTGCATATTTCCACTTAAACGAAGTCTCTGAACAGTCAAGCTCCCGGCGGCAAAGAACAGAATGGCGGCTGCCAGAGGAGTGGGAGGAGGGGGAAGTAGGGAGTTGCTGACCACTGGGTTCAAAGTCCCAGTTGTGCAAGCTGAGTAAGTTCTAGAGATCGGCACAACATGGTGCCTGTGGATAACAGCATTGTTGTGTACACTTAACAGTCTGTCCGGAGGGTGGACCGCATGCTAAGTGTTCTCACCACAACAAAAATTTAAAAACATTCTAAAAATTAAGAAGAGCTCGTGAGGCGCAGGCGAGTTGTAAGCAGGAGGACAAGGAGACGCCTGCAGCTTTGGGCCGTCAATAACGCTCCTCAATCACTTTGAAAACCTTCTTGGCAGGAACCACAGGCTCTTAAACAAGAAAAGGACTCATTGAAAAGTATTCCTCTCTGTCCCTCAGAGAAGGATCTCTGATTGGCAAATGCTATTTTTGGCAAAAGCAGAATCGATTCCACAGAGATCGATTCAGCCTCCGCCACGCAGCAGGTGCTGGGCCGTGGATAGCGACGAGAAGGGAGCATCTGCTCTGCTCACCAGGCAGGGAAGCGGGGCCGGCGGGAGCAGGGATGGCTGGCGCTCAGACCTGGATCCCAACGTGGACGCTGCTGCCTGCTGGCCGTGCGGCCCCAACGAGCTGCCTGACCTCTTTATTCTCTAGAAAATGGGGATGATAATGCTCAGGGTGTTGTCTGAGTTAAAATAGAAAAAAGAAAGCATGCCGTGCTTTGGACCGGGCCATGCGCTGTGCTGTTGTCGGCACTAAATACCGCTTCCTCTGAGGCTGTGTGGGAGGATGGAGCTGTGAGGATGGAGGAGTGCACTGGCTCAGGGAGGCAGGAGGGTGGGTCTGGGCTCACACCAAGGGGACCTGGACTGAGAGGACTTTGGGGTGCGGTTGTGGCATGTCTTGTTGGGGGGCTTGGAGCATGGCCTGGATGCTGCTTAGTGGGAAGTTGGAACTGAGAGCCTGGGGATGGTTCTGGGAGCCGGGAGGACCCCAGGGCAGGGGGGAGGGGGCAGATGATTTGGGGCCAGCCACCTGCAGGGCCCAGGAAAAAAGCCTACAATTTTCTAGCACGGGGAGAGACAGCAGGAGTGCCTTGGGCTTCCAGAAACTTCTTAGAGCTGGCTTAACCTGCTGCGGGGGCGGACTGGGGATGAGTATGTGTGTGATAAGGTAGGGGAGGCAGCAGCTGACTAAGAATTCAGGTGTCTGTCTCCTGAATTCTGGGAAGGGCACAGGCTCTCCGAAAGGGCTGATAAGATCCCCAGGGCACAACTTTCTTTCCCAACCTTCTCATTTAGGGACGCCAAGTTCTCTGCTGGAAAGAGCCCGGGATTGGGAGCTCAGGAGTGCTGGGTGAGGCAGAGCCTAGACTGGCTGCGTGTCACTCGAAGGGCATTCGGCCCCTGTGCCCCTTTAAGATGAGGCGTGTGCCCAGGCCCTACGTCAGACTGGAGGACACCAGACTCTAGGGAGCCGTCCTGCCCTAGAGTAAGTCCCTGGGGCAGTTCTTCCACATTCCAACCTAGTTGCCCCAGGGCACTTAGCACCTTCTCCATCCCTGCCTTCCTCCCCAAACCTGTAGGTAGAGCAGCGTGTTCCCTCTCCACATTCGAGGAACAGGCTCAGAGCAGGCGAGCTCTTCCCCAAAATGGCACAGCTAACCGACAGAAGAGGCAGGACTGGAACCCAAGGCTAGGGCTCCTGAACCGCCTCGCTACAGGGCCTCAAGCAGGGGGCGTGGGACACGGGCTCAGGTTTCTCTTGGACAACATGGGGAGCCACAGATGATTTATTTCTCCTCACGTTTACCACGGAGCATGGCAGACGCCTGTGTTCGTGACACTTTCCCACAGAGTTCAGTGCATCCAACAAGTGGGCGCTAGGGAGGGTCCTAGTTCCTTGTTGGTGCGACCTCCTGGCACGTTCCGGACCTCACACCGGAGTGTGTGCACTGCCTCAGGCCGAGCCAGAAGTGTCCCAGCAGCCAGGGCCGTGCTCAGCCCTGCTCCCTGCTCGGGGGAGCAGGTGACGGCGACACCAGGGGGTGCCCAGATCACACAGAGGGAACGTGTGGAGACAATCCAGGCCACTGCCCTAGGAAGTGCGCCTTTGCCTTCACATGGGCTGTCTGGGGCTCAGGCAGGGATGGGAGGGCCCCTGGAGGCCACCTGGGCCAGGCCCCTGCCTCCTGCCTCCAAATCACCCCCAAAGGGGTGCGGGAAGCAGAGCCGCAGCCTCTCTCGGTGCTGCATTCTGAGCTTTGCACACTTTGAGAGTGAAATACGGCCGGGAGAGACCACTGTGTGAGTCTGAGAAACAATCTGAATCCACGGGCGTTTGTTCGGAGGATGCCGGGCTCTGCGGGCTGGAGGAGGCTTGTGGAGCCACGCAGCCTGGACCGAGCACCCTGTTTTCTAGAAACGACGCTTCAGAAACATCTGCAGACATCCCTGCCCTCCCCTCCACGGCTTTACCATCCTTCTTCAAAAACACAGACTGTCCTTGGACCCCACACGTCCCCGTTAGCTGTCAAGTGCCTTCCACCGAGACACTTCTCCACAGGCCAGTCCACGCTCAGGCCCCACCTCCACCTACTCCCCAGCGTGGCCCCATGTCGCTCCTGTGCTCACCCACTGACACTGCGCCCCCCACCCCTCCTTGTTGCTAAACTCAGGCCACTTCTCAGTCCTGGTTTTATCGGTTCCCCAGAGGCCGCTCCTCCGTGGGTCCTGGGACCTGCTGCTGGGGTGGGGGGTACAGCTCATGTGAGGTAGCTGCCCCGTTCCCAGGGAGGAGTGCTGCGATGCTGTCCTGGAACCTTCTCTGCCTCGGGTCACTACCCCCACTCCCCTTTCTCTCCCTTGGGTCACTATCTCCCCCCTTCTCTGCTTCGGATCACTACCCCCCCCCCCCTTCTCTCCCTTGGGTCACTATCCCCCCCTTCTCTGCCTCAGATCACTATCCCCCCCCCCCACTTCCTTGCTGGCTCCCCTCCTCCCCTCCCTGCACCCTCTCCCTAGGTGACCCCGTCGAGTCTCCAGCCCTGAGCACCAGGCACACATCAACAGTCCGCGTCCCCAAGATGACCTTTTCCTTATCTTCAGACACTTCCACCTGAGCAGCCACATGACCTGGGGGCTGGGGGCGACCAACAGGTCACCCAAACAGAAAAACCGGCTCCTGGTGCTCCCCCCCCTCCCCCTACTTCTCTTCCAGACGCCCCGTCCCTGACCACGTGCTTCCAGGCCGGCAGCCAGGAGCCCTTCTCGGTAGCGCGTGTCGCAGGTTCTGTGGGCACTACCTCAAACATATATCGGGGCTGCAAACCGTCCTTCCCTCCTCACTTCCTCGGCGGTGCTCCCGGCCCAAACCTCTCCCTGGAGGATCCAGCGGCCCCTCAGCCCCCAGCCCGCATGTGCCCCTGCCGGTTCTGTGCAGACAGTAGCTAGGGCGACCTTCTAAGGGGCAATGGTGCCTGGTCCAGAAAGCACCCCACTGACCTCTTGCTTCTCAAAAGTTCTGGCTTGTTCTTATTTATTTCTTTTCCAAAAACAAATCTTTTTTTTTTTTTTTTTTTTTTTTTTAAGGAATTCAATGGGAACTGACCTAGGCCCAAGATCCATTCATTTAAGTAAGACTCACTGTAGGCAGCGTCCTGAGTCAGCTTCCTAGGGGGCCATTGACCTTCATGTAAACACAACCAATAAAGACCTGGCTTGTCAACAGCAGGCGGGGGAGGGATGATTCTCTTTACCAATGATCGTGGCTTTATACCCAGACCCCGCCATGGCTCTCCTGGTGCCCAGGAGGCACTTCCATCACAGACACGGGCGCCGGCGGGCCTTACCTCGCGGAGGCAGGCGTAGATGGGGCAGACGGGCCTTATCTCGTGGAGGCAGGTGGAGATGGGGCAGACAGGGGCCTTACCTCGTGGAGGCAGGTGTAGATGGGGCAGAAGGGGCCTTACCTCGCGGAGGCAGGTGTAGATGGGGCAGAAGGGGCCTTACCTCGTGGAGGCAGGTGGAGATGGGGCAGACAGGGGCCTTACCTCAAGGAGGCAGGTGTAGATGGGGCAGAAGGGGCCTTACCTCGCGGAGGCAGGTGTAGATGGGGCAGAAGGGGACTTACCTCGCGGAGGCAGGTGTAGATGGGGCAGAAGGGGCCTTACCTCGCGGAGGCAGGTGTAGATGGGGCAGACAGGGGCCTTACCTCGTGGAGGCAGGTGGAGATGGGGCAGAAGGGGCCTTACCTCGAGGAGGCAGGTGTAGATGGGGCAGAAGGGGCCTTACCTCGCGGAGGCAGGTGTAGATGGGGCAGACGAGCACGCGGAAGGGCTCGCCGGTGCTGCTGCGCATGGTGCCGAACACCTCGCACAGGAAGGTGATGAAGCCCAGCCAGCGCTCCACGTCCTGCTGCTGCAGCGCCTCCCGCACCGTGAAGTCCTTCTGCGGAGGAACAGAGACCGCGTCAGCCTGGCCGGCCGGGCAGCACCCCCTCTGCCGTGGGGCCCGCCGCCCAAGGGCTGGTCCTCGCGTTTTCAAGGATGGGAATGGGTAACCAGGACCACGGAACCTGTTCTCCAGGGTCTCCAGTCTGGGGGCCCCTCAGCCTGGCTTCCCTGACCCCCCACACAGAGGTGGGGGAGTGAGATAAAGGGGAGATGGCACCTGTCCCAGAGTCAACACGCCCACCTCTCAACTCCCGGTGCCTAACGGCTCTCCCTTTGCTAACCCCCAAATCATGCGGTCCCCCCTACCCCCCTGCCTGCAAGGGGCCTAGAGGATCATAAAAAATTAGTCATTCATTCATTCTTTTCTTTTCTTAAGACATATATATATATATATATATATATATATATATATTTAAAATATATTTTTAAAGCATTTTATTTATTTATTTATTAAAAGTTTATTTTATTGATTTTTTTTTTTACAAAGAGGAAGAGAGAGATAGAGAGTTAGAAACATCGATGAGAGAGAATCATCGATCAGCTGCCTCTTGTACATCTCCTACTGGGGATGTGTCTGCAACCAAGGTACATGCTCTTGACCGGAATAGAACTTGGGACCTTTCAGTCCGCAGGCCGATGCTCTATCCACTGAGCCAAACCAGTTTCAGCTCTTAAGATATATTTTTGTTGATTTCAGAGAGGAAGGGAGAGAGGGATAGAAGTATCAATGGGGAGAGAGAACCATTGATCGGCTGCTCCCTGCATGCCCCACACTGGGGATTGAGCCCACAACCTGAGCATGTGCCTTTGACCAGAATCCAACCTGGGACCCCAACCTGGGAGTCCACAGGCCGATGCTCTATCCACTGAGCCAAACCGCTAGGGTCATTCATTCTTTCTTAAAAGTATTATTGCCCTATTTAGTGCCAGCCATTGCATTAAGGCTAAAATAAGACATGTTAACTCATAGCTATGTTACAAGAAAAGGTCTTAAAAGCCACTGGGGATTCAAAGTAGAAGGATGTTAGGAGCTCACATTTACTTAGCAAGAGAATTTTCATTTTAATTTCAAAGAGAAGAAAAAATTCTACAAATAACTGTGAGGGAAAAAAAATAAACCCTAGGTTTCTCACAAAGGAACAATAACATTGTTGACCTTTTACTTGTACATTTAATGTTAAAATTCAGAGACATTGAGGCAACATCTTCATATGCTTGAGGATAAAAGAGCACACCCAGCTATGAGTGAAAGCAAGAGGAAGAATCTTACATAAGCAGATGTTTGAGAAAAAAATCCCACCCATGTGCTTGTTTTAAACCCCACCCCCCCCCCAATCTAAATGTTACAGATACCATGGAAAACAGTAAGGCAATCCTCAAAAATTAAAAAATATAATCACAATACAATTCCACAATTCCACTTCTGGAGATGAATCCCCCCCCCCCCCCAAAAAAAAAAATTGGAAAGCAGGGTATTTGCATACCCAAGTTCATAGCAGCACATGTGGGGGTGTGCAAGAGGCAGCTGATTGATGATTCTCTCCCATCAATGTTTCTAACTCTCTGTCCCTCTCTCTTCCTCTCTGTGAAAAATCAATAAAATATATTAAAAAAAAAAAAAAAGGAATGGAAGGCAGACACATGCTACATCACGGCTGAAGTCAGTGAATAAGCCAGTCACAGAAGGACAAGAATTATATATTCTAGAAGGTACCTAGAGTAGAAACAGAAAGAATGTGGTTGCCAGGGCTGGGGCCAGGGGGCTACTGGGAGTTGTTTAATGGGTTAAAGTTTGTGTTTTTGTCAAGTTGAAAAAAGTTTTGCAGATGAGTTGCATAACCATGTGACTTATACTTAATATGAATGAACTGTACACTTACAAATGGTTGAGATATGGTATATTTTATGTTATGTGTTTTTTTTCTTTTTACCACAATGAAAAATAAATACACCAACTGAGATGTGCTGTAAGGTGTAAAATAGACACTAGTTTTTGAAGACTTAGTATTAAAAAAAAGAATGTAAAATGCCTCATATTTTAAAATATTTATTACATGCTAAACATTTGGATATATAGGGTAAAGTAAAATATACTACTGAATTTAGCACATACTACTGATAAAGCCAGAGATTAATTAGAAAATAGAGAAACAATTTAATATATAATGCCAAGAAATAAAAAATTAGAAATACTAACAAAATATGAAAATAGATATGGAGTAGATAAGAAGAGAAATAAAAACTATTTATAATTCTATGCTGAAAACGATGAAACAGGTGATTTTAAAAAATATACCAAACTGTACTAAAAAAAATAAATAACAAGTTGGAAAAGACTAAAGGTCATAAAACAAAATGAAAAGTTCTGAAAGAATTAAGAGGTGTCTACAATTATGATTTTTTAAAGATAAGTTACTCAAACTTTAAAACAATTAGATAACTGCTCTGCTATGCAAATTGACCCAGAACACAGAAAAAGATAAGCTTTTCCAGTTTCCTATTATCCAAATCTCATGATGATAGTAAATTTCAAACAAGGAAGTCTATGCCTACTTTCTCTAATGTGCATAGATGTGAAAGTTCTAAATGAAATACCAACAAATAGATCCACAATAACCAAGTAGATTTTATCCCAGAAAGGCAAAGATGAGTTAGTATCAGGAACCCTGCAAACATAATGTCAATGGGCCCGGTTAAAAACCAGCAGAAACATCCATGACCCTTGGAAGAAAGGAGATAAAATGATTTAACATGATTACAGGTATGCAAAACCCAAGAGAGTTCTCTAATAAAGATTAGAATTAATAAGAGAGTTTAGGAACTAACTAATGAACTAGTGCTGTATTTAAATGCAAAATTAATACACAGAAGTCTATAGGTTTAATCAGTGAGATATTTTAATGCACAAAAACTCATTAACTAAAACAATATAAAATCTTAAGTGACATGAGGAAATATAGAAGATTTCTCTGAAGAAAACTGCAAATTGAACTGAGATTTAAGAGAAAGTCTGAAACGAGGGAAGAAACACACAGTGTTCCATAGTGGGTAGTCAGCATTCTAAAGACGGTTCAATATCAGTTTGTACTCTGTATTCCAATGGGAACTTTGGAGGGTAAGGAGGAATGGAGACTTGACAAAAAATTATCCTGAAAGTACTTGGAGAGTGACAGGAGAGGATAGCTAAAAACAAAACAAAACCAAGTTGTAAGGAGCTGTATTTCTTTTCACCTATCCGAACCTTCAATAATTAAAAGGGCGTGGAACTAACCTAAGAATGGACAGCTAGCTCGGACAGCCCAGAAACAAATTCGGCACCCCTAGGGTCCATCACCTGGTCCCGGAAGAACCACAAATCAGTGGCAAAGGAAACATTATTCACTGAAGCCACGGTGCAGAGACAGCTGTCTAAGTGTGAGAGGGTGGGGGTGGGGGGAGAGGATAATTTAGTGTCTCCCTTCGCACTGGGCCCTAAGATGAATTCCAGATGGAATAAAGAGGTAAATGTGTGTTTGTTATTTTTTCTTTTAAAAGGACAAACCATAAGAACTTGAGATTGAGTATTTATCCAATTTCTAGATAAAGAAGGGATTTTTATATTAACGCAACAGAAGAAGGCATCACGATAGTATAAACACTCTTAGAAGGCAATAATATTCTGGGAAAAATATCTGCAATAAATGTGACAAAGGATGAGGATAAAGGGCATCAAAAGATAATTCATATGTCAAAATAATTAATTAAATCTCAGTAGCAACTGGATGAAAGTTGCCCCCCTCCTTCCCCCCTACCATTGTATTAGCAAAGCTGAAAACTGGTCATTGTCAATGCTGGTAAGGATGCAGCGAGACAGGAACTCTTGTGGATGGGGAGTGTAAATCAGCAGCACTTTCCCCAAAAATCCTGAAGTAAGCTTTAAAGGTGTTCTTATTGTTTGACTCAGTAATTGCACCTCTGGGTAATTAGCACAAGGAAATAATTAAAAATAACAGGAAAAATAAGCTTTATGCACACAATAATTCAACAACGTAAGTATCCAACAATAGCGGAGTGATAAAGTAAAGGATGATTCATGCACCCATTAAAGATTATGTTTATGGCCTTGGCTAGTGAGGCTCAGTTGATTGGGTCCTGTACAACAAAAGGTAGGGTTCGGTTCCTGGCCAGGGCACATATCCAGGTTACAGGTTTGATTCCCAGTTGGGGGTGCCTGGGGGATGTTGGGGGGCAACTCATTGATGTTTCTCTCTCACATCAATGTGTCTGTCTTCCCCTTCCTCTCTTTAAAAATCAATACAAATATTAATTATATTTATGAAAAGTTTATAACAATATGGGAAATGGCTATCGAATTAATGATAAGTAAAAAAAGAGCAAAATTATATGAATTATATAATCTTATCCATGAATACATTTAAAAAAATAATATTTTATTGATTTTTTTTTTTTTTTACAGAGAGGAAGGGAGAGGGACAGAGAGCCAGAAACATCGATGAGAGAGAAACATTGATCAGCTGCCTCCTGCATACTCCCCTCTGGGTATGTGCCCGAAACCAAGGCACATGCCCCTGACCGGAATCGAACCTGAGACCCCTAAGTCCACAGGCCGATGCTCTATTCACTGAGCCAAACTGGTTAGGGCCTATGAATACATTTATGAAAAAAGATGAGGAATAGCAAGTGTTAACAGTAGTGATTTCTCAATAGTGAAATTGTAGATGATCTTTACGCTTTTTATTATTTTCTGCATTTCTTTGCTCTTCTGTGAACGTATCTTTTTATAGTCAGAAAAACAGGCTAGTGAAAGAGAAATTGGCAGGTTGTGACCCTTCTCCTCAGTTTTTTAAACGAGGGCAGCCGAACTCTTAGAGTGGGATCTGCCAACTGGTGGCGATTCTCGCTAAAGGGGTGGCGAAACAGGCTACGAACATGCCAGCCAGGAGGCCACCGAAACCAGCCGAAGTGTCTCCTCTGGGCACACACAGCCCAGCCTGC